CTATAAAAGCTAGCTGCCTGGCGGTGTTCATATTTATTATTTCTCTACCATAAACACAAAACAACCATGCACATTTCAGTCGTACTGCACTGCTCCAGCTTCCCTTCCGTTGCCCTCACCAGCCACCAAAGCCAACCCCGGAGCACTTCCTATCCCCCTCACTTACAACGATACATATGTATCACCATGCATTCTGGCTTTGAAGAAAACTTTACTGTTCGGAGTGGCATGCATACTTAACATTTCTACAATCAAATAGAATCTGTTACTTTGCCCACTTATAGCACCCCTTCTCCTCCTTTACCTTCACCGTGTCCCCGTCCCCCCAACACCTGTCAAAGAAAATACTCCTTACTTCACCTTATTGGGAAGCATTGACCTTCTTGCCTTACTCCTAAAGTTGCACTGCTCAGGTGGGTGACCTTCTTCCCTTACTACCAAAGACGTAGTGCTCAGGTGGGTGACCTTCTTCCCTGATAAGAAAAGTGCAGTTGTCAGGTGGGTGTCTTTCTTCCCTTAGTACCAAAGATGTAGTGGTCAGGCGGGTGACCTTCTTCCCTTATAACAAAAGGGCAGTGGTCAGGTGGGTGACCTTCTTCCCTTACAACAAAGATGTAGTGCCCAGGTGGGTGACCTTCTTCCCTTACAACAAAGATGTAGTGCTCAGGTGGGTGGCCTTCTTTCCTTACAACAAAGATGCATTGGTCAGGTGGGTGGCCTTCTTCCCTTACAACAAAGATGTAGTGCTCAGGTGGGTGACCTTCTTCCCTTACAACAAAGATGTAGTGCTCAGGTGGGTGACCTTCTTTCCTTACAACAAAGATGCATTGGTCAGGTGGGTGACCTTCTTCCCTTACTACCAAAGATGTAGTGCTCAGGTGGGTGACCTTCTTCCCTTACAACAAAGATGCATTGGTCAGGTGAGTGACCTTTTTAACTTACTACCAAAGATGCATTGGTCAGGTGGGTAACCTTCTTCCCTTACTACCAAAGATGCAGTGTTCAGGCTAGAGCGACCAGTCCCCAGTTTGGGACTCTATCACATGGGGTAGTTGAGGTGATCTTTCACAATGATAAAATCCAGGGCTCTAACAGATTTTATGTCGGACTGTCAGGGCAGCCTGTCACTTTGCAACAGATTCTCTTTAGTGGAACTAAAAGTGATAAATTAAAATACATTGCGAGCAGGCCGGCTCTTCTATGCCTACTGTGTCTCTTCTGCCATAAATAACCTTATCTGCCGCCTGTTAGAAATCTTCATTAGAATGTGCATGCACATGCATAGTTTCTCAGCATGCCTTGGTGCCGGAACGAATATGCTTCTGTACACATGCGTAGGAGTTACAACATTCTGGCAAAGCTAATAAAGATAGCCGAGGCCCTGAACCTGGAAAAAGACTGGGTGAAGATGTGGGTTTGGCGTTTGTTGGAGTGGTTACCTTACAGAAAAGGCATGCAGAAAATGAAAGTTGGAGAAAGTCTGAATTCCTTATCTCTATGCTTGTTATTGAGCAGTGACTTTTGAGCAGAGCATTTTGAGAAGTAGCGGTAAGAAATCGCAACCACCACATGTCTCTAATGACAGATGTACTTGGAATGTGTCACCAGGAACAAAGCCACTCACAAATATAAAGTAACATTTTGTTTGTTGAGATTATTTGTTAAAACAGGCCTAAATCTAACCTTCATGATATCATCTTGGTCACCCATTGGGAAACGTACAAAAGGGGCAAAAAATGGTACAAAATGTCCCCTTTCGCCAAACATTTATTAATAATTTTATAAACTGCAGCGCAGGGTGCAAAGATTTCTGTGGAACATTATGGTGGAATTATACCACAATGCTGAGGCAAAGCTACCCTCCAGCATAAGATGGTGCCAGCTATAGCCAACACGATACTGAGAGGGGTTGTATAGAAATCTCTCATCAGAGGTTACTTTATATACAGTAACAGCTTAAATCATTCTATACAACACATTTGATCTTCAGTGTCTTTTCTTCCTTGCTAATCTCACAGGAGGTCCATTAAAAATGTGCTTCCAGCCTGGCCTTCTAGAATATTTATTTCCAGTGTCCAGGCCAAAACTTCTTCTGGATCTGCAATGGGCATCATTTGTTCATTAACTTTTTTATTGCTTTCAGGTTTATACAACAATGAATATTGGGGCATTTAAGGCCTTGTTCAGACCAAATGCAGAGCAGATCCGGTCAGGTTTCTGCACACGCATGCTAGTCTTTTAGATGCGTTTTTGATGCTTTTTTTGCCGCGTTTTTGATGCGTTCCGGGCTCTTTTTGTTAAAAAAATAATAATAATATATTTTTTTTAAGTTTAAAATGGGCTTTCAGTGCGTTCCAGGCATTTGCATACGTTTTTGATGCGTTCCAGAGAAGATCCAGAGCAGGTAAAATAGTGCCTGCTGCAGTTTTTTCACATGCTCTGGATCTGCTCTGCAACTGCACGCCGCGATGTGAACAGGAGCAAAAAATACCATTGGAATACATTGGACGCAGTTTTGATCCGGTCTGCAACTGATCTGCTCTGCACCTGCTCCGCGCTTAGTGTGAACAAGGCCTAAGGATCTCAGTTTTGATCCGGTCTGCAACTGATCTGCTCTGCACCTGCTCCGCGCCAAAGAAAAAGCAAATCTTTCAGACAATATTTTACATCATAAAAAGTCACAATGTGAGATAGGTGTTGATGGCTGACCAGAGACAATGCTATTAGCATTTAAAGTAAACGTTTTAGTTTTGATTGGGGATTAGAGCGGGCAATGGTCAAAACTTCTGTCACTTTTTTTGCTGTCTGTTTGGCCATTGGGGAGATTTCCCTTCACTTTCTGTTCTGAAGATGGATCAGGAAGTGAGAATAAAATCAGGTGTCCTCATTGTTAAGCCTCGCAGTTGGTGAGTGAGAAACTGTCAGACTTCTGGTGACCTTTGACCCCAGCTCTTTAAGCAGAAACAAACCCTAGTATCCCCAAGGGCAGTGCCATCTTTGCCTCTATTCAGATCTGCAGCTACCAAGGTGCTGGATACACGACCAGCAATGACACTAGTCTTGTGAGGGCTTGAAAGATTGATCAAGAGCTGGCCTAAGCACACTGGTAAATCTGACAGTTATCACCAGAGGCATGCTTGAATATAGCATACACTGCGTAATCGGCAGATTGTACATGAAAACACATTCAAGACCAAATATTTAGGTGCTTGCATAAGACTAATCCTGATTGGTTCTCTACAGACCTTTCCATAGATGGGGTAGCACACTTACTAACCCTAGAGGCCTTTCTCCAAGCATTAAATATTGGCATTATACTACATTTATTGATTTCAGCCCCCGCCTCCCCTTCATATGTATGTGTTGCAAGTATAGTTTGTCAGTGCCCAAGAGATTAATAAGATTAATGTGGTTCGTGATACAAAATTGCTCTTGCCAATGTGGGAAGGTAGAAGCTTCTTGTTCATTTATACAAGAATCTCTAGCAATTCAAACAGGTTCATCCATTTACCGTTTCATGTATCAGATTTCTCTTTTCTCCTGACCTTGTTCTGTCTTAATTAAGTCATATTTCAATTAAATATTGTTATTTTCCAATTAAACATTCCAGCAAATTGTAGAAAGCCGGTTAGTATAGCTCAGAATGAATTGTGCTCTGATAATCCATAGGTTCAGTATTTTATTGAACACTAAGCTGAACCTCTGAAAAGCAGCCAATCTGTGTTACCAGGAGGAAAAAGGCAGGAGATGTGTTTATGGCATATATGCCCTGTGTGGTATATAATATTAATAATCATAATAATAATAATCATAAAAAATTAGTAATACATGTGTTTTTCATTCACCATAAAGACATAACCAAATTAATTTATCTACCGTATATACTCGAGTATAAGCCGAGATTTTCAGCCCATTTTTTTGGGTGAAAAGTTGTGATTCAGATCAACCAAAGAGGGGGATCAGATGGGAGTGTTTAGTGCCTGGGCTGACAATGAAATAGTACCCTTTTTAGGGAAGAGTAAGGGCCTTCAGCAATAATTTAAAAAAAAAAAGAAAATTGGCCAGCACCTAGTGCAGTACTCACCTAAACTCCAGTGATGTCCCCTGGAGACTCATTGCTTCAGACATCCAGCGCTGGTCCTGTTCCAGGTTGAATGACAGTGAAGATTACTGTGTCACTATGTTGGCTTGGGCTTACAGTAGAATACTGCAAGATTGCCCCCTACCACTGCATGAAAAATAAAAAGACCCAGGACGTCACATGACCAGCTAGAAGTCTGCTGGATTTTAGGAATGTATGTGGCATGTTAAAACAAAAAATTATGTGTGGGGAAGGTAGACGGGGCTTCTTTTTCAAGCTACACATCTGCTTTAACTGCTTAGTCATTGTATAGTCAATGTCTGCATCTTCCACAGCTCTGTACATCGTTACTACTATAAGCCAGCCCCACTGACTTCCTATCAGCCTATGCTGTCCAGCCACATTTAGTGGGGGACATACCATTTATGCAGACTGTGCAGCTGGACAAGGGCCATTTGGGAAATTAGGGACCCATTTATGCTTGATGTGGGTCAGGAAAGTGCTGGGACCTCTCCAACTGTCATGTAGATTTGGACATGGCTCAATTTTCTCTAGCTGTCAAATGATACACATAGTGAGTGTTTTTACTTTGCCAGTAGCTTATATGAATAAAAAAAAAGGAAATTGGTCAAACACAGGAGTCCCTTGGTGACTCTTTTCATCATTACTCACACTTGATGTATATAAAATGAAGTTCTTATTAAGGTATACCTTTAGCTGTACATTTTGGTGGCATATCATCTGCTCACTGTAGGAACATAAGTATTAAACTGCCAAAATGGACAGAAAGCAAGCACTTATGGTGTTTAGACATATCATTAGCTAGCCTCTTGGGTATCCTGGGAGCTCCAAAATCTGGAACAAATCTTGATTTCCACACCTCCTTTCTGGTTTCATTGGCACACTTTGATTTCCATACCTCCTTTCTGGTTCCATTGGCACTCTTTGATTTCCATACCTCCTTTCTGCTTCCATTGGCACACTTTGATTTCCATACCTCCTTTCTGGTTCCATTGGCACACTTTGAATCTATGCAGTTTTAAAAAATCATACTTGCTGCACTTGTTGCAGTTTTTAGCATGTGCATCCTTCATATGGATTCATGTATAGACAACACACATTCTAATCATGACCCCAAGATCTTCCTCTATCCACATATTTCAACACTCACCTTTAGACCAAGCATAGCTCCAGAATCTCGAGGTACACTTCCGTCTTTTAACCGCTTGTTTAACAAGATGCGGCCAATTAATCGGTCGCCATCTTTGGACGCTTGCCACGTTACAGGGTGCTGATTTGTGTAAGGAGAAACACAGGAAGAATATGTTAGAACACATTAAAAACAGTACAACAGTAACAGATTTGGAGCCTTCAAGAACACCTGTAGTTCAGAAGAAAACAAAAAGCTGCAAAGAAGTCAGTTAGGAGAGGTAGGCATTGCCATTTTTGGTAATTATGATGGTTTTTAGGGTATCTTGGAAGGGTAATATTAAGCCTCACCCCACCTTTTCTAAATATCACTACTTAAAGAAAAGACAAACTGTGTATGGCAAGGCCTTGCCATTTTAAATATAGCTGTTGTCAAGAGCTTAAGTTGTGGCAAAGTTTGTTCTAATATAAAGAATGGCACACTAAATGTTCCTGCAACCATGGTAGCCTACTGCCATACTAACCAACTACGGTAGCTTTTTGCTTTATGTCTAGATCAATCTTAACGGATACCCGGTTTTCTGCTGAATTCTGAACTCTTTGCTCCTCCTCTGAACTTCCTATTTAAGCCATACCTCTGTACTTCCTGTTTGCCAGATTATTGTACTTGTGCCAGTAACTTGCATCCTGTTGCTACTGCTACAGTGTGTCCTTATTGCCTCTACTCATCTACTGACCCTTGGCTGCTGTTTCACTGACCACTCACCACTTTAAACGTGATACCTTTGGCTACTGACTTTTGCTTGATCACCAACTACACTTCTGCTTGCTCTTTTACTGCTACCGCCTGCTTGAGTACTAAACCTGGCCTCTTAAAAACCAAAAATAAGCCTGCTGTTTTAGCTACTGGACTCTGAGCCTGATCCCATATTATGACACCTATTCTGCAACAGTAACAGCCTTAAATTTGATATTTCCAAAATACACTAAACCCTTCATCAATGGACAAATCAACTATAGTGTCTGCCTTTCCTACCCCCCTCTTCCACAGCATTTGTTTATTACTCATTAATGTGACTATTCCCCTAGTTATAAAGTAGTAAAATACAAGTAGAGACCTCTTGAAGGATTCTTGACTTCACCTTGGTTCAGTTTAACATGATAGTAGTTTTAAAGCTTGGGAAGCTGAAATGCATCTTGCCAACTGCTGATATATTCAGCGATGAGAAGGTGCACAATATCAACTGCTACTTATAAACTATTCTACCAAGTGCTGGAGAGTGAGGAATACTATAGTACTCAGCAGAGTATGTAGCATACTTCAGTTTACCTGCAAAAGTGTAATTAACCAGTAGTAACTACATACACCTCCTTCCCCTACAAGATAAGGGCAGGGGAGGTACTCTGCGGACTCCTGGACTCCTAAAATTGCCTACATTAGATGCTTACATACATATGTGTCTCTATGTTTTAAAGGTTTTAGAGTTCTTTTAAATACAGGTGCACTTTTAGGCTGGAGGGCAAAAGAGGTCTCAATATGTTCTACAAAAGTTTATAGACAATCTAAATCTCTTCTATAGGAACAATAACAATAGGCTCATTAGATTAAGCTTTACACAAGTAGAAGGATCTTTATTTTCAGCCATGTGACTATAATCTTTAAACCGCATTGGATTAAGTAAAGAAATATAACTCATAAAATAACTGTCTTTTTTTTTTTACAACAGGGACCTTACCCTGGTGTGTTAGCTTTGTGAATTGAGCCTAATGCCATAATTAATGAGAGTCAGTTAATTTAAGAATGTGACCGTGAGTGATGTACAGCATTACTTTGTTTTCTAATTCACTATTTTAAGAATAAGTCCAGTTCTTATGAAAATTTATTTATAGCAGACAAGCTAATTTGTTGTGGAATGATTGAAAAATTTCCTTTCCTTTTCAATCTGCAGCCAAATTGTACATAACTGCCAAATAAAATTAAAATTGTTCTTCTTTACACCAAAGAAACCAGCTACGGTTTTCTGCCAGCATTGTAGAACCTTCACCCCTTTGTAATATGCTCACTACCATAGGGCTTGTGTAATGGGCAAATGAAGTGTGGTTTCAGATGCATTTAGCTTGCATTTGATATCAGTTTCAGATGCTTCTGACTTCCATCTAAGTTCCTTCACATGTGCTTTTGACCTGCAGTTGACCTCCTTATACATACCGTTGACCCTCTTATGATCTATAAGTTGGCAGCCTTCTGACTGCAGCTGACCTTCTAAGGTGCACAAAGCTGCTTCAAGCTGCATTTGCATTCCCATTAACTCTCGCGGAGGGAAAAGCAGTTATAACACAATGTGTGTATGTGAGGTGAACAACGCAGTGTAGTAAAAACCTTCTAATAAAGCAAACCACCTGAAGATAACCTTAATGTGTCTACCTTGGACTTGGAAAGGTGTGCTAACTTCTAATAGAATACCGGGGCTTCAATTTTTCATACACTTCATGGATCGAACATGGAGGACCTCCCAGTTATAAATATCTTCTGTGACATTACCAGCTGCAACGTACATTGCAGATTGGGTGGTGGTGGGGGGTATTTTTCTAAATAATAACTGCTACTTACACATCTCTAGATGGGTTTGAGGAATTGAAGTAATACCTCTGTTCCCACAATCCAGAGATCTTCGGTTCTAACATGGCAGCGGTCATATTTTTGCTCGCAGTGTACTGCCCTGCAGGCAGCCAGAATTAGTTGCGAGTCCCCTACGAATGTGTAAGGATTTCGCTGGCAATTGACTGCCTGCACAGAAGCAGGCCGCCTGACAACTACAGATCTCTGTGTAAGTGTAAAGATCTGCACAACCTATCAACTAGAAGGGCATTCTGCTTCAGTGCCGTCATAAGCTTTTAGTGATTATTGTGTCACAGACAATCCAACATGACCCATTCCTTAAAGAACAAAATCCAAACTGCTTGTGAGGGATTTACTAAAATGTCAGGTGATTTTATTCAGAAAGGTGGAGAAAAGTTCAGGAAAAGAGTATTTGCTGTGTTCTGAAATAAGTCATGTTGGAAGGTATGGTGTGAAAATGCTTCCATCATGTATAAACTAATAACAGACACCTAGAATGATCTAATAAAAGTAAGTTAAAGGAGAACTATGGGATGAGTGAAATACTCTAATCCCCATAGTTAGAGCCAATGTGTGACACTGAAACTGTTACATGTCGGCTCTATTAATCGAGAACTGAGCAATCACATACCGCTGATCACTCAGTTCAGAATCTTCTCCCCGCAGAGAGCGGTGACTGTCAATCAACGCTCCCCGCAGGGATTCCCCCCATCCCCTCTCATTCCTCCAGGGCTGACTGGAGGGACAGACGAGCAAGGGGTGGGCACAGCTCTAGAGAGGCAGAGCCAGCTATCAATCAGGCAGCGGGGGGATCCTGACAAAATTGTCAAGATCTTTCCCAGCTGCAGCACGACTCCGCTCTGTCAGCATATAGCGGGCAATATAGCCTGCTATATGCTGAGTTTTAAGTCACAGGAGGACATTAGTAAATGTCCTCCTGTGACCCTAAAGAAGATGAGTGATTTCCACTTATCCTCATAGTTAGAGCCGACCTGTGACATAGAAGCTGTCACAGGTCAGCTCTATCAATCGGGAAGTGAGCAGAAACATGCAGCCGATCTGCTCACTTTCCGATCGTCTCCCTGCAGAGAGCGGTGACTGTCAGTCACTGCTCCCTGCAGGGATTCCCCCCCTACCGTCTCCGATCCTCCAGCACTGAGTGGAGGAACGAAAGAGGGAGGGGTGGGCACAGCTGGCTCTGCCTCTAGATAGGCAGAGCAAGCTGTCACTCACACAGCTGGGTGGATCTCGACAGTAATGTCGGGATCCGTCCCAGCCGCGGCGTTCACAGTATATCGCAGGCAAAAGCCCGCAATATACTGAGCTTTGGGTCATGGGAGGACGCTAGTATATATCCTACCGTGACCCTAAAGAGAACTATGGGGAAACACACTTACCTCATAGTTCTCTTTTGACTATTAACAAAAATGTCTTATTTGTGCATCACTTGGCTGTAGATCCATCACAGGAGAGATTTTGGAGTGGTGACTACTTTACAACACACACAGGGACCATGGGGAACCAAAGTAGCCCCCCTCCAGAAGGAAGGACAGTGTCAGCACCAATTCAGAGATGATTTGAGGATCTACAGCTGAGTGATACACAAATAAGCAAAATTTTTCATAATATTTAAGGTACACGTATGCAATAAACTTTTATCGCCTGCTTCAGAAGGGCAATTAACACAGATGAGCAGCACTGAAGGGAATCCTAAACAGCATTTTCTCCAGGAAAAGGGAAGTTTTTCAGCCCTACTATATATCTATCACAGCAAAATTGTTAACATAGATGTATGCTAATATGTTTGTTTGTTTTTTTATTTTATTCTATAACCCTTAAAATGTAAAGACCGATATTATATGTAATATAGTGGGGAGGAGCTACAGTTTTGCCAATACATATTAAATTAAAATTTCACATGTACCGCTGTGCTGTCTTTTTTTTCACCCATGCAGTGTGTAATATGTGCAAAGCTATTGTGTACCCCCTACAGTGCTGAAGGCCTACTGTAAATCCTAACTGCACAATTTGCATATGTTACACTACAACAAGGGGCTGTGTATCCAGATTTACACAGTGACAGTCTTTTCTTATTTAATTGACTCTCAAAGGATGATTTGAAGAATCTTACAAAAGCAAATGTGGAGCTTCGATTACACAAATGTATATCACTGTTATTTATCTCATTTAAAATGCTAGGATCTGCATTTTGATTGGGGTGGTTCCTGTGGGAGAAATTAAAGCCTAACTCCAAAGCTTACTTAGCATTGTACGTGAGGATGGAGAGGGCATCCGGGGATATTACAGTGCAAAAGAGAGCCGACTCACATGGGAATGAAGAATAAGGTAAGTATTAGTGATGTAATTATACATAATGGCCACTAGATGGCCCTGTGAAACATAGGAAATAAGTATTAAAGATGCTCCTCAGCGCATAAAATTAACTTTCGCTCGCCTTGAGAGTTGTTTATTAATAGACCCCATGCGTTGTATTAATGCAATGTGTTATCATGCATTAAGACACGCTATGATAGGGCAGCCTATTCACTTTACAGGGGTTGGCACTGCACCTTGCCACTGCCGAATCTAAGATTGCTCTTACAGGCATACATTATGCACTTCTAGTGTTAAAACCTGCCCACCACTTCCTGCCTCCTGTGTATAGCTATTGGCCAGCAAGGCAGCCCCTTACAGTGATAGACCAATAGGAAAGAATGAGGGGTGGGGCTCTGCAGCAAGTGCCAACACTACCTGTAAGTTATAAAGTGTTGCCTGGCAGAACAGCTTGGTATGTAGCCATTATAGGTAGGTTTCAGAGGCCGCTGCAAATATGCGCACCTAGATATTTTCAGCAGCCTCCCAAACCTACCTGTCTGGGCTGAACTTCATACTTGCAGAGGTTTGCCCTCCCTTTTCCTCACTGATAGAGTCACTTCAGGAGTTTCCCATTGGAAACTGTGGAATTGGAACAACTTTGATGCATATTTCACTTTAATAATTCACCAAAATGAAAGCATGAGTACTAGGCCCATTGCCAGTTATCTTAATAGTCAAAACTAATGATTCATTAATCACAGATTTTAAAAAAAGCATTTCAAGAGGCATGCCACTATCTAAACTATGCTGTATAATGATACGAGGAAGTGCTGCCATTACTCAACCCGCACAACGATTGCACTAATGCCAATGTATAGATATTTATGCACAGTGACCATGTAACAGCCCGTAAATTGCTTATGAGATATACAATACTGCTAGTGGAGCTGATCTTGCATTTACAAGGGATGTTCTGATGTGCAGCACTGCAACAATTTAAAGAGTTTGGGGACAACACCTGGTTTTCGTATGCTTTCTTGTACTATTATCCTACACTGCAATGTTTATATGGCCGGAGGGGCATGCATGTTGATATGCTTTTAATGAGTGATCATTACCTGGTTTTGTCATTCAGGAATATGTAGCAATGCACCTGCAGCAGTTATCAAGCTTTGATTTTGGTTGAGTTTTTAAAATGAACTTGTGGATGTTCAAGTATTTACTAGGGATGCACTGATACCGATACTGGTATTGTTGCTGCCCCCGAGCATCTGGGCAAGTACCAGGCCCGACATCGGTAGTCAATATCGGCGAGTGCTGATAAAAAAATCTTGGTACTTGAACTTGATACCCAAAAAACGGTATTGATGCATCCCTATTATTTACATATACTTTACAAGCAGTTAAAAAGATCACTTACTGATCTCTGCAGCCACAGACACTGTGGAGCAATTCATCCTCAAAGTTTACAAGAGAAGAAGTGAAGTTGTCCGTGTGAACTCTGGGCATTCTACACTCCCAACTTCCTGTAGACTTACTCTGTGTTTACATTACAGATAAGAAGGCTGAAAGGCCGCCAAGTTACTACTGGGAGGGGTGACAGAATGAACTGAGCTGCTGAAAGTAAAAGTGATTTGCTCCACTGACTGCAGCTACAGAGGTCAGTGAGGGCTTGTTTTAATATGATTGTTAAGAATACGTGAATAATTAAATGTCCATAGCCTGGACAAAGTTTAAACAAGCAAAAAAGTGCACGTTTTTTTTTCTGCCTGTGACCCCATTGTGAAAATTGTCCTTCTCTTCTTGTCCCCATTCAATAAATTGGGAGTTTGACAGTTTTCCACCCAGCTCCTATGATTTTTCAATTGAAGGTTATTAAGCCAGGTGGTGCTGGTAGGGACACCCACAGCTCTAATTTCACCCAATTCGGCAGGAATTGGCCAAAATTCAAGCCAAGCGTGACTGCCTTTTGAGAGGGAGACCTTTGGTATGGTCAAGTGGTAAGGGGCAGAGACAAGCCCTCCTGTGGGCAAATCTCACCACAGATACGAGAAGCTAGGAGGTTATCCAGCCCACTGGTTCCTATCCATAGCAGCAGAATCATTTTTGCATAGGCTCCAGAATGGCTGCAGTGCAACATCACTTGTGTAATCAAAGCTGATCCCCAAGTTTAGCACAACTTCATGCTCCATGCAGATTTGACATAAAGAGAGCACACTTAGAAAAACTGACACATTTCATGACTGCTTTAAAGCTAAAACGCAAAAATAAACAGAATAATGAACAGCACACTACAACACAAACACAAAAACAATGTACGACAGATGAGGACGGACATAACATGAAAGTGAAAGGGAAAAAAGAAAAACAACTTTTCTGTGCAAACAGACCCAATTTTTGTTTTCGTTTTCAAAATGATTGTTCATATTTTGTCATGTTCTTTATATTCTTGAACCTGTTGACGCTGGGTTGTATCTAATACCCGGCCGATTCAAAGTCAGTGGTTATAAAACGTGGTGAATAAATAAGATATCACAATCTAGATTACACAAACAAAAATACATTTCTCAGAGCCTGGCAATTTTTATTCTTGCCCTGCCGAGGGTGGCAATGCAAGAATGCAATGGGGTTTCTTCATTTTTTCTTTTTAACATATTTTCTTTTTTTCTTTCAGTTTTGTTTTTCTTTTCTGCACCTTAAGAAATACTACAGTGTCTAGAAAACAGAGTGGAGCTCATTTAAAGACAGCAGTTATGGGTCTCAACTGCCAAAACGGTGCCTGGTCATTGGCCGGCGGGCCCCTGACTTCACCCTGCAGTCTTCAAATAAACCCCATCCGCCTGGTCGTTAAAAAAATGTTTTAAATTCAATGAGTGACAGAGAGCAAACGAAGACCAAATGAGCAGATCAAAATGCAGGCTTCCACAACGTCAGTACCTTGTCGCTATGGCTATGCTCCTCATTAAGGGTGGTGCTACTACACGTGTCTACCCCAGAGTCTTTAATCTGGGGCTCAGACCATTCCAAGTCCTCTTCCAATGAGTGGGCTCCAAAGCACACCATTCTCTTTTGTCTTTCAGACAAGGTGTTAGAATCCGACAAAACTGCCTGCTCACTAGTTTTTCTTTTTCCCCTTTGACTGTCCCCTACAAGTGTGGGATAAAAAAAAAGGATATATATATATGTATATATATAAAAAGGAAAAGAAAACATGCATAGGTATAAATAAAAACAAAGGGAGGTGTGGATGGTAAAGGAAACTGGATGTTACGGCCCCGCATGTCTCACCAAAGACATTGGGGATGCCTCACTGCTGTGCCAAGAGGTGTGCTCCATCCAATACTCCATGTCACCTGTGTGGATCAGACAGAGAAGACAGTGCAGAGAGGGAGAGATGAGGATAGAAGAGACATAGACATAACATGGCAGTTTTGTTAATCATTTTGGTGTATTTTCACAGTGGGCCTCATTTATCAAAATGTCTTTAAATGGACCAATACTTTTGAGTTTTCAAATTTGTGGTGGAACTGCAGCTGTAAAATTCATACCTTTGGGGTCTGTGTTTTCTAAATCACTGGTCATGTGGTCTCTGCTAACAGGACGCAAAGGAATAACCGTCCCTGGTCATGTGGTCACTGTCACAGCGGTCAGGAAAATAGCATTCATTGGCCATGTGCCAATGGGAGACAGGGGAAGGACAGTCTCTGGTCATGTTGTCACAGCTAATGGGAAGCAGGGGAATGACATTCAGTCACAGACAACCAAAAGCAGCTCTATCTTAAGGGCCTATTCTTACTGGTCAGGTGTGGTGTGATACTGCACATGCATTTCACATGTGTGCTGCGTTAAGGCAACCTGCTTAGTCTGATAGGGCTGCCAACACGTTGCAACAAATTTTAACAGACATGTGCAATTTTATTTCAACATAGCGCACCACCATTTGTTACCGTTGTGTTTTGCGGTGTGCTAAAACTCAGGTGCGTTGCAGTGCGCTGTCTAGGTAGCTTAGGGTCCCATCGCACTTACTTTTGTGTATTACCTTTGTTGAGGTAAAGCAAGGTGAACTGTGCATTGCACTATGCATTAATACCACAGACTGGTATGAATGGGCCCTAAAGGTGACCTTACCTAAGAAAGACATGGAGGCCATTGCTACTTCAGATTCTGCAAGTGCTTATTTCCTTTGTCATGTTTAGCCTCTGGCTTCAATACTCTGTACCCCTTACCTAGAAGCAAGTATATCAGTAAGGATGCCTGAGTTTAGAGATATGCATACTTGTTCTAGGTCAGTGGAGGAAATCTAATTGATGAGCTTACATAGTCAGTGTACTAGACTGACAGCCAGTATCTTCGGAAGTGCAATGGCAGCCCCCAGGTGTCTTAATTCTGATCTGCCCCTTCTTCAGAGACCATATGACAAATGCCGGAGGAAGCCCCATGTTAGAGGTAAGTCTTTCACAGCTACCACAGTCATTTAGGGGATGACTTAGAAAACTTCTGCCCAGCCATACGCTGGGTGAATGCCTTTCACATGGTGTTCCCACCACTATATGGAGCCGAGGAGTAGTGAGGAGCCCAGGAACTTCCTATGCTCTTCACCTCCATCTTATGGAGGGAATGCCATGTGAACTATTTGACCAGCGTATGGCTGGAGCAGATGAGTTATAATCACCTACTTAATATATAATGGAACCTTGGCGTGACCACAATGTTGGCTGGTCTTAAAAGTAAAGGTCTGCTTCAATAACAAAAAGTCCCTACTGCCCCACAACAACAATTGTATATAACATTTCATTCTTCAGCTGCATTTTGCATCACATCTTTGAATCCAATGGATTGCTGTGAGACAATACAGACAGTTCTTATGAGAAACATTTTGATAAATGAGACAGTGTACAGTCTGTCAATAACAATTAGAGCAAAGAGAAGATAAAAAAAAACCTAGTAGTGTCCACGGCAACCAGTTATCTCTGTTATTCTTTCACCTGCACTGGCAAAATGAGACCTGAAATGTGATTGGTTGCTAAAGAAAAAAAAAAACTTGAGTTCACTTTGTTTTAAACTACAGCATTGCCCATGGCAACCAATCAGATCCCAGATGGGCCTTACTAACATATACAAGAGAAGAACATTCTCATGCAGTAGGGATCAAAGTGCTTGTTTGTACTGCCCCACCAGCGTTTGACTGTGATTGGTGGCTATGACATTATATGTATATTTCCTATTCCTGGGTAAACTTGTATTTGTAGAATGGTTGGTAAAAGGATGGGGCCCAGGGCACATCCAACCATTGTCTTAATACCATGATATGAGACCTATATGTCTAGCCTCTCATTAAACCAGCATTGGAAAATGAATTTAACAATAGGAGTCTGAATCTGATTGGTTGCTGTAGGACAATAACGACTGCCTGTTTGATAAATAATCCCAAGCAGGCCCCATGTATAAAAAGTGTCATAAAGGAAGTTGTCAGTGTTACTCGTAGAAACCAGTCTGCTCCCAAATGCTATTTGAAGTGCAGTTTTGAAAAAAAAATCTGGTTGCTATTGGCAACAAAAACATTCCTTCTTGTGAAGGCGTTTCATGTAGCACATGGTGAGACAATGCAAACTGACACCTGACCTGGCTGGTTGCTATGAATAACAGATACATTTTCTTTCTCCAGTTGACAAAATGGCTTTATAGGTAAAAATAAGCACTGCATGTTATCTAAAATATATAAATATATATCTCCATAGTTATATACAAAATTCACACACAATATTATAACAATAAGAAAAACAACTTATTAAAGTGTTAATGTTCAGTTGATAAATCATTTTCAAATGGTAAAAAAGAAGCAATGTAATGAAGTAACACGGCAACAAAACATCATACAGTTCTCTTGACTGCTACCATTTATTGGTGAGATCTGATTGGCTGTTAACGGTTTACTACACTTTGCACACTGTTATTCAATTTGCACGGCCTCATTATATAGAGTTATTGTGGAGTGCGCAGAACAATATATACTGAACAGAAGTAGAATACACACATTTTCCTGGAGACATTTAAAGGGGGTTCCAGCTTTCAAACAGCAAAATCCCTTCACGTATGTCATGTGCGGATTGTTTTGTGTAGAGTCCGATGCTGCTCTTAAATCTGAACTCCAGGCAGATACAACAGACACAAGCTGATGCAATTCCGCACTTATCAATAAATGATTACATGTCACTTTTTTAATGCAACTAGCGGAAGTATCTTACAGCGGAAGTAAAGTGATAAAAACAATTGCTGAAAAGGTCGGGATTTTGGCAAAAGTCTCTTCTTCCCAAAAACCTCTTCCTCTCTCCCCCAGTGATTTTTTCCCCCATGTGTTGTACGGAGTACATGTTCAGCCCATTCACGGCATCTCTTAGATGGGCCTGATGCCGGGGAAGATGTAACGCCTTCATCAGTGGCCAATGAATGACCAAAGAGGATGCCTGGGAACCCAGAAGTGTCAGCGGCAAGAGATAGAGCAAGGGACCGCAGATCCATCCAAAAGTGCTGGAGAAGGGCACACTTGTAAAGTAAGGGTGCTCTAATGGGCACTCTACTGGGAGATAGAGGGGCAAGACTGAGAGCCAATCAGGGGTGGTGCATGCAAATGTATTGGCATTTACTTGCTGAGATTTACCAATAACTATGCAGTGCAAGGGCATAAATGACTACATTTAAATTAAATGGGTTGTCTAGGTACTACATACAGGTGAAACTCGAATAATTAGAATATCGTGCAAAAGTAATTGCAGTAAGAGCAGAAAAAGGGGCCCAAACCAAGTACTGAGTACATATGCATGCTTATACTTTTCAGAGGTCCGATATTCTTCTATGTACAATCCTTGTTTTATTGATTGCATGTAATATTCTAATTTTCTGAGATTGCGGATTTGGGGTTTTCATGAGCTGTAAGCCATAATCATCACAATTATGACAAATCACGGCTTGAATTATCTTGCTTTGCATGTAATGAGTCTCTCTCATATATTAGTTTCACCTTTTAAGTTGCATTAGTGAAATAAATGAACTTTGCACGATATTCTAATTATTCGAGTTTCACCTGTAGTCATTGGATATTCCCAGTCAGGACACTATCTGCAAGGAGTTTGCATGTCCTCCTTGTGCTTGCGTGGGCTTCCCTCCAGATATTCCGGTTTCCTCCCACACTCTAAAGACTTGCTGGAAGGTTCCTTGGCCCTGTATGTATTCATGTGAGATATGGACATTAGATTGTAAGCTCCTTGAGGGCAGGGACTGATGTGCATGTGCACTATGTAAAGCACTCTGTAAATTGTAAATTCTATATAAATACCAGCAATAAATAAATACATTTCTGAAGGAGATTGTACAGATATTGCAATATGATATGGTGATATGGCTGGACAGCTTTATAATTAAAAGTAAAACTGAATTTCCCAACGCTAAATACACAGATGAAATTGTATATACAATATATATGTCAGAAAATGTGTATTTCTGTCCCAGTCCTAAGATTTACACCGCCCTGCCAGGTGGATGACACTTACAGTTTAAGAATACAGTGTTGTCCTCTCCCCACCCTCAACCTGCTGACTACATAGTGCAGAAGAAGAATCAGACTGATTAGCTTCCCTCAGCACACTTTGCTCTTTTCTCCCATCAGCATGCTACTTGTTTGCACATTTGCATGCAGCACACTTGATTGGCTCCCACATCCTGCCCCTCCCTCTCCCAGTCTAAGTGCTGCTGCACATGGTTTTGCCAGAGGCATATACCACGCTAAATACAGGTTCTTTCAATAGCTGTATTTACAGAAATACATTTTAATGATTGATGAATGCATATAGAGCTGCATTAATCGGTGTCTTCTATATTTTCCTGAAGTTCAGTTAACCCTTGAAGAAGAACTCCAGCATTTACTCAAATGTACTCCTGCAGTGGGGCTACCTCTGCCCTGCAAGGGTTACGTGCTCATTGAGGTCTAGGAGGGAAAATAAAGACATACTCCCTTGATCCTCGCTCCTGCGGCAGTCAGCGCTCACCTCCCTCACCCTCCGCTCCGGCTGTGATATGCCCCTCGGCATCCTCGTGTTTATTGGACCTGCATTAGACATCAAAGGTCCTCAGAACGCTGAAACCCAGGGGAGAAGAGGCTGCAGGGATCGGTCTAGCAGCCAGGTGGGACCAAGGAACGGGTGAGTATATCTTATATATATTATATTTTCATCCCTAGACCAAAACAAGCACTTAACCCTTGCAGTGTGGGGGTAGCCCCACTGCAAGGGTTAATTTGAATAAATCCTTGAGGTCTTCTTTAACCAATCCCAAACATTACTAAACATACCACAACATT